GCCTGCAGCAGCAGCAGCAGCTGCTGCTGCTGCTGCTGTTGCTGCTGCTGCTGCTGGCCGTGGGGCAGCTGCAAGGAACTTGGCGCTGCAGAAGCGCAGCGGTGAAGTCGATGCGGTGTACGTACACCTTGCGAATGCACAGAGGAAGCTAGGGGCCCCAAGAGCCCTCCACATCATACACTGGGGCCCCCCAAACTGGAGGCCTGGGGGCCCCCCTGGGGGTCCCCCTGGGCCCCCCGTTGGGCCCCATGGGGCCCCCCTAAGACCCCCCTGGGGCCCCCTTGGGGCCCCCTTGGGGCCCCCTCGAGGGTGCCCCATCAATGAGAGATCGGGGGCGCCCCCTCAGAATTTGGGGGGCCCCCCTCGAGTCTGGGGAGTGGGGCAGCAGCGTCGTTTTGGAGTTGAGGGTTTAATTGATTTAATTTTGTTTCTGAAGACTCAGAGCTGGACTTGGAAAGAACCCTTAAGGCGGAGGCACCAAGGGCTGCAGGGGGCCCCCCGCTCAGGGGGCCCCCGGAGAGAAGGGGGATTCCCAAAGAGGAGGCGCCCCAGAAAGGGGGCCCCCACGAAAGGGGCCCCCAGAAAGAAGACCCGCAAAAAGATAACCCCTCCGGGATAGGGGCCCCCCAAGAGTAGACCCTCCTTGAAAAGGGGACCCTCAAAAAGACCCTCCTTAAAAAGGGGCCCCCCAAGAAGAGCCTCCTCAAATAGGGCCCCCCGAAAGAAGAGCTTCCTCAAAAGGGGCCCCTCAAAAGAGACCCTCCCTCGAAAGGGGCCCCCCAAAGAAGACCCCTCCTCCAAAAAGGGGGGCCCCCCTTCAAGGGCTCTACCCCCAGCTTCAAGGGCCCCCCGGCGGCCGCCCCGGGGGCACCCATGGAGGCCCCTGGGGCCCCCTCCTCCAGGGGCCCGCTGAGGGGCCCCCTCAGGAGGCCCCCTCGGGGGCCCCTTCAGGGGCCCCCCTTCAGGGGCCCCCTCGGGGGCGCGTTCAGGGCCCCCCCCAAGAAGCCCCTTGCTGGACGCCTTCAGGCCCCCCCCCTCAGGGGGCCCCGTAAAGCGGCCCCTTGGGGGCCCCGTGGGGGCCCCCCGAGGGGCCCGGTGGGGGCCCGTTGAGGGCCCGTCTAGGTGTCCTGGAAGTCTTCGTAGTTGAAGGAGCAGAGGGAAATGGACTCGAGTTGCTTGAGCTGGTGGTCCGCCTGCAAGTAGTCGTCAATGCAGTCCTTCATCCAGGAGTAAAAGGTGGGGTTGTTGTTAACACGTTCTCTGTAGGGAGAGTTGTTGAAGTTTTGGCACTGGCGCGCAATCTGCACGAACATCCCGCGAACAACTTTTTTCAAAACGAAAGTCACAAGTCTTTGCGGCACAAACCGGAGTCCGTGGTGGAAGGCTCCGTAGAGCTCCAGAGTTGTTTGAGACCCTCCGGAAAGAGGGTACAAAAGAAACACCAAGTCCGCGGACTGGGCCCTGGGGAGTTTGCCCTTGGGCGGCAGCGGGCGGCCGAGGAAGCTTGCTGCTGCAGCAGCAGCAGCAGCAGCAGCGGCGGGCTCGGGCGGGGAGCAGCAGAAGATGATCACCGCGCCGCACTCCTCCAGCGCGTTGACTCCGAAGGAAAACAAAACTGTTTCCTTCAGACCCAACAGGGGGTAGTCGAAAGTCTGCAGCAGCAGCTGCGAAGCTCTGCTGTAAGATGTCACCAACTCTGCACTCTTGAACATCGGAGCCCAGTTTCCGGCTAAGTCCGATTCGTTAAGAATCGCCAGCACGGCGAAGAGTGCGCACGGGAGTTTGCCGCGCACCTTCATCGACACGCAGCTCTCGCGCTCCACGCGGTAGCACAGGTCCAGGTACTTGCCTGCGCGCAAACCCTAAACCCTAAACCCTAAACCCTAGGCCCTCCTCCCGCGCTCCGCGCTGCGCAAGCGGGCGGGCGGCGCGGGTGCTCCTGGGACGCGGACACTCTTCCACTTCCCGCTAAACTCTGCACCCGAAACCCTACACCCTAAACACTACACCCTTCACCCTAAACCCTAAACCCTAAACCCTAAACCCTAAACAGGGGGGAGGTCTTTCGGAGGGCAGGCGGACACTCTTTGAGCTAGTTGGGGAGCCTTAGTACTGAGCGCTTGACTCTACGCACACACTTAAACCCTAAACCCTAAACCCTAATGGGAGGCCCCACACCCGAACACGTAACCCTCTCAGCTAGTGCTGGAGTCTTAATTTTGAACCCTAAAGACTACACACACCCGACCCTAAACCCTGAACAATAAACCCCAAACGCCAAACCCTAAACCCTAGTGTTTGACCCCAGCAGCAGCAGCAGCAGCAGCAGGAAGGCGCACCTTTTTCTCGGATCCAGCCTTCTTCGTCGGAGTTGCTTTTGGCGCTGAAGCCCTTTTTGCTGCTGCCCTTTTTGCTGCTGCTGCTGCCCCTGCGGGCCAAAGAAACCTTCCGACCCATATTTCTCAAACCACTTTTTAGTTTTGTTGCACTTGTCTTTCTTTCGGGGAAAGGGGGGCCCCCCTCCCCGCTGCGGCTGCTGCGCACGCTGTCCCCCTGGGGGGCCCCCCCGGGGCCCTCCCCGGGGGCCCCCACCGCGGCTTCTGCCTGCGTGCTGCTGCTGGGGGCCCCCCCGGGGGCCCCCCGCGGC